TATAGTTTTCATATTTTGTATCTCTGTACACTTCTTTGACGTTTTCCCAGGCCATTTCCTCACCTGCGGCAGGTGCGGTAGCAGCTGCTGCACTTGCGACCCCTCGTAGAGCTGTCATTAACAACAAATATTGCCAGCACAACCCCTACAACCCCAAGGCACACCAACCCAATCGTACATCCAATATTACCTCCTTTCTGTTCCGAATCCTCGACACTCGCTGTCTGCAAGTCCGAAAGCTGTGGGTTCATCAGCTGTTGAATAGGCCTGTAGCTTTGATCGAACTGCAAAATATGTTCCGGGTCAACTCGTAGCCAGCGTCCGACCTCCCCGACATTTTTGACGGTGGCAGACAATGCAATGACACGCAGAGACTGAACTTGAGCAGATGATATGTTCTGCTTGAGTTGGTCGCTGGTGCCAAACATGCGAGTTATGACAGATTCAAGTGTACCACCTCGTGAGTTCCCTATATGGTGGACTTCATCGACGAAGAGCAAAGCAATATTGGACAAAACGCCGGGTACTGCTTGGGAACAAGTATTCCTCGTGAGGCTATTCCACTTTTCAGCAGTCGTCAAGATCAGGTCAGCATTCAGCAAGATTGAATTGGAACCTGCCGCATACACATCTCCTGTCATGATTTCAACCCGTAAGCCGAGAAACGCATATCGCCGTTTCCAGTCATGTCCCTTTTCCATGCAAATGGCTTTAGTGGGAGCAATAAACACCACCTTCCTGGGTAAACCACTGGCAGGTAGGTACTTTTTCTCCGATGAAGTGAGAGCAAGATGCAAGTAGCGAAGAAGGGCAAGTTCAAAGCAAAGAGTTTTACCAGAACCAGTAGGCGCTGAGACGAGCATGTTGCAATCGCTGTCCCATGCCTCAATACATGCGACTTGCATGCGATTGAATGTATGGTAGGGTATTGCAGGTGTCAGATATGATGGCAATATCGAGGACACCTCCGAAGCCATGAAGTTAGTGACGGTGACAACCGTCCGAGTGTCGAACGGGAAATTATGCCAGGCCTGAAGTACCAAAAAGACTATACGAATGAGTTGTCGTCGTTCTCACCATTGGCAGTGTGCAGAGGGCAGCGTCAACTCTTGCGAAACAAGCCATAACAATTCTTCAGAAAACTCAGGGTTTGTTGCGGTTTCGGTTGAGCTACCTAGCGATTGAAACGAAAAATTTGTAGCCCCATGCCGAATCGCCGACGTTCTGCGGAGAGTAAAAGGTACACCAAAAGCTGTTCCCGCTAATGTAAATCGGTTCGACTCCTAACGCGCGCGCTGAGACGCCGGATCTCTCACCGTGATTCTGTAACCGTGATTGCGCCCAATATGGCGTCGTCGTCTCCACATCGGAGAGCAGACACATTGTCCCTGGCACTTCACTAGCCCTCACCGAATACACCCGCATCGCGCGCCTTTCGTCAGTGCAAAACTCAAGCTCAGAATATCGCCCCAGAGCCGTCCGTGGATCAAAAACCACTTTCATTTCCGTCGCCCACCGAGGCATTTGAACCTTGAACGTTTGAGACACACCTCTCGGATGTGGATGACTAGTAGATTCATAACAAGCGGTTCGCTGTCGAACTCGCAATAGAAAACTGTACCGGTCTCCATGATAGGCATGCTCGAAGGCGGCGTTACCAGCCACTGCGTCAAAACGATACTTCAAAAGCATCTCGGCCGGTGGAAATGATCCAAGCGGCTCTACCTCGCGAGCGAAAGTCTCCGTGTCGAAATTTAGAATGCGCAGGTACCCCGGCCGACAAAACCTCTGCAAGCACTCTCTGACTCGCTTCTTCTCCCTTTCAGACATTGCCGAGACAGCTTTTGGCGGCGAAACGCTGCATTGCATGCATCCCCATTCCACAAGCGCTTGCCATATTTCATATTCTGAAGCACCAAGGTTTTCTTGCTTGATAATGTGCAGCATAAGGTCGACAGATAATTCTTCATACGGGGCACGCCAGAGTAACTTGGAACAGTTTTCGGCCAGATACTCTGTGAGCCTCACGACGAGTAAACGATTCTGTTCCGAGTCTTGGAGAGCACGATCTAAAACGGTGACGATTTGACGCACATTCTCCTCGTTTCGAAGGTAGGAAAAGACAATGCTTTGCAGACTACCGATTCCAAGCTGCGCAGATATCGAGCAAACATCATAGACATCTGCAGCTTGAAGGGCGATTGTGCCGGTGTACACGTATTCCAAAACCTTTCTAAATATGGGCAACGAAACAGAGTCGATAGGAATCTCCATAGTAGAAGTTTCTGCTCTGTCATTATCTCGGCCCTTCGATCGAAACTTGCAGACCTCCGATCGAATGGCTTTGCAGCGGACAGCGACAATCGACGAATGTGCTGGTATCCCTGGGGAAACTCCATTGATAATGAAGGAAACATCACTTCCAACACCTGAATCCAATAGTTTGCGCATGTCCTTTCGGAACGAATCTTGAAGTGTGTACTGGCGACCGGAACTAGAGTCGAAAACATGGTTGTTCATCGTCTATGTCGCACTGTCGCTTGAAACAAGTCGGACCTTGTTGATGGCTGCATTCTACCCCAGCAGAGAAGAATAGGAATCATTCAGTTGGCCACCGGCAATGCATTGAAGTTGCATATTGAACGTGGAGAGAATAAGAACACGATAGTTCCTGGATACCATTGAACGACTCGCAAGGGTGAATGTGATGGAAAATAATAGGATATCGTTTTCCCAGTTCACCTTTGACAAAGGAAACCAACCCTCTGCCGGCCAAGAGGACACACATGTGCAGTAGTGCCGAAGCAAGTGAACTCATTCTGCGCTGTAAATTCTTCGCTCAACACGTGTGCGATTTCTCATGGTCTCAAAAGATGATTTATGCGACGTGGCGCACACATTTCGTACCCCCCCCCAAGCTACATCCACCCTTCACCTGCAGCATGATCCGCCTTAATTGATATCCTTCGATGAAGTCCGCTACCAAAAGGTCTTCCGCTTTACTTAGACCAGCGTGATGTTTGTATCCCGCGGCGCGTTGGAATCGCAAGACGGGCGACGTGGTCAAAGTGTTTTGATTGAAATTCAGGAAGGCTGCGAAGTCGACAAGGGTGTCGTTCCATCTGTTATTGAATTCGTTCTACGTGACATCACTTCCCGGGGGGCTGGCGAAGAGGGCGGTAAATGTAACATCGCTTTGACATGCATAGACCGTTCCCCGAGGGACTTTCAAAAAATTGCACGGAAGTCTTCGATTTCTGCAGAGTGCGTTATTGATGGATTTTCGGAATGGTACGGCACGCGCGAGAGTAATGGAGGAGAGAGTGTCTCTAGAGGCCCGGGCTTTCGAAAAGTACACATCGGGACAGCCGATCCGTGTTCTGCGCAGCAAGGATCGATGACAGAGGAGATTCTTGGTGTATGGAATGCTTCCGTGAATAGGACCTCTACGCAAAGGATCGCTATCATCGATTCACTTTCGTCGCTCTTCCGTTTCTGGCCGGGGATTGACAGCTTTTTAGACCTTCGAGACAAGCTGTATGCTGCAGCAAATGAAGGCCACATAGGTTGTTCAGTGATATTTATTGGGGTTATACGACAAACGACGCGGGACACGTCCCTCTTGATCTCTCTGCGGAGAAGTTTTGAAACCCTCGTAACCGTGAAGCAGGGAGAGATGTTTGTCGGTCACACCACAGTCCGGGCAGTTAGCACGAATAGCACTTCTAGAGACCTAGTTACGTTGAAAGTCTGCAAGCGAAAACTCTCTGGTCGTGTGCAGCTTGAAGAGGTCGTTGCCAGAATCGATCCGGCTACTGGCTTTTTGCAACAGGTCGAAGTCAAGAATGACAATTTAAAGAATGTCCCGGCGTCCTCACGGGAAGAAGAGGAAGAGCAGCGACAAGAGAAGGCACTGAGCCAACTTGGGCTCAGCTTCCGGGTGTCTCTGTCGACCAAGGAAAAGGAAGTGCGTGCTGCTGCCGGTCTACCGTACCTTCATCAGGATGAAGGCCTGGCTGATTCTGGCCTCCAGCTACATCCAGACTCTCTACAAGTCGGTCGCGGTGGTGCCTATCTTGACGCCTCCCCAGCGAGTGAAGATTCTGATACAGATAGCGACGAAGAAATGTTCTCTGAAGACGTGTAATCGTAGCGCAGGATGCAATAGCATGCATGAGCATTTCAGTTTGGGTTCCTCTCCTTCATCACGCTGGGAAAGACGAAGAAGGACGTCCTGATGACGTCTTTCGCTTTCGTGAAACGGGGTGAGATCCTTCAGGACAATGAATTAAATTGGGTCTTCGGGTGAAAGCGGAGGACTATGACAGCCTTCCGGTTGCAGGCGGGAGTGCGAGCACGTGAGAAATCTAGGAAGGTGCTGGGCGTGGAGACGCTGGTCTGTGGGTCGCTCTGAAAATGCTTCAATGTCCTTCAGTTGTGTGCCTCAAAGTCCAACTCTTAACTCGACGGGAGTGCAACGTTTGATTCGATTCTAATTGTCGCAATGCTAGCTAGCGTGCTGCTCCTCTTGAGTACCGGGACTTTTTTTTGTTGCGCTGCTGGGAGTACACCGTACAGTATCGTCAGTGTATGGATCGAAACTCAAAAAGAAATTCCTGTTGTATTTTCTCGGCATGCAACCAGCATGTCATTTCTCAGCATAGAAAACTGCAGGATATGAACTTGTACACGTACTTTCACCTTCTGTGTAAAATGTCCGGAAGCCTGGAAAGCATGCCCAGTGCGGGAGATGGCTCGGTGGCGTGTGTGTCTGACAACCCGTCCAACACAGTACAACCGTAAACATGTCAACTTTTGGCTCTAGTGCTGCACGCTCCTGGGGTCTTTGATCACATACGATACGCTGTTCTTGGTGTCGACATCGTTTGCTGTTGGAATCGACGGAAACTTTTAAAAGTGCTGGTTTTAGGTGATTGTCTGTCACTACATGACCTGGAGATGACAGTTGTCCAGGGTGGGCACTTTCAGCGCGCCTACTAAACGCGAAATTTCATGCAAAACGAGATGTTATGTCGTTGTCCCTCCTAAGTGCAGTTCGCATATCTTGAAATGTGTGCCCATGGCCCCCTTATGCCTATGTTGAGTCTCATTTCGTGCAAAGCTGCTAGTGTAGCAGGGACTACTTGCACAAAGCAGGGCCCATGAAAAATGAAAAATCACACTGGATAGAGATGTAAGTTCGAGGCCAAGCCTTCAGAGCGAAGAACATGCGTAACGGATGCCCTATTCCTCACTTTTTTTACAATGGTTTGGGCCTAAAGACGGGGGTACTTATCAGGCCTCTCTTCGGCCCGCAGCACCATAGTATCACTTAATAAGTAGCACCGAAAGCACAGGGGGTGCGGGGCCGTGGGGCCCGAAGCCTGAACCGCGCCTTTGAATTCTCACAGGCAACATGCGTGCCTATGGGTACGGCCACTTTTGAGCACATGCGATAACTGATACGGGTTTTCAATACTATGATAGTAGGATTCCCTTCTCCCAGCGATTGTGCCATTCAGTTTGATAGAGAACGTCCCCATCGACCATCGAGAGGGGTTAGCACTTTTTGACACGAAGCGAACATTTTTAGGCGCGTGTGGACAACAAAGACAGAAATCAAGACCCGCTACTGCGAAAACAGCGGGACGCGAACAGAAGAATGAAGGTTATGCGGGGAATTGTAGGTCCAGTAGTTGTCTCTGTTCTGTTGGGAGTGATTTTCAGCTCGGACGGCGCCGAGGCCGGTTTCTTTGATGGGCTGCTAAATTCCATGATGGGCAAGGTGACGTCTGCCATTGAAAACGTGGTGGACGAAACAACGAAGAAGTTTTCTGTATTGTCGGGGGTGTTTGGAGATAACGTAACGCGAGGAGACTTGTCGCTGCCCGAAATCATCAACGGGGCATTCTCCCGAAACAATGGTATATGGGTCGGGGACAACAAGGCCGACATGGACTGGAAACTGGGAAACGGGAATTCTGTGATCGGGGCAGTTTCCAATGGGGGCTCGGTGGGGGTTATCAGCAGCGGTGGGGACGTGAGCGTGGTGACGAGCAAGACGCCATCACCAACTGTCGGGCCGCAAGTAGAAACGGAGGATAGCGGAAAGGACGTTGGCTCCGGGGATGAGACTGAGCCCGAAGACAAGGAGGACATAGACATGGGCACTGGGGAAGAAGGGAAAGAAGAGAAAGAAGAGAAAGAAGAGAAAGAAGAGAAAGAAGAAGAAACAGAGAAGCCCGAGGCGTCGAACGAAGAGGACGCAGGCGAAGAGGACGCGGGCGAAGAGGACGTGGACGAAGGGTACTACGAACTGATGTCCGACTGGGATGCGTTTGTAACGAGCGACATCTGGAAGGTGCAAGAGACGAGCGAGAAAGGCGAGGGGGGGTCGGGCGGGGATTCGCTGGAAGGAAGTACGTCGCGGGTCGTGAACGGAGTGTTCTTCGAGAACCGGGTGCCGTCCGGGTCGTCGTTTGGGGCGAAATTTTTCTACAACAACGAGGAGAACTTCTACTGCAGCGGGAGTCTGATCGGGTACCCGTACATCCTGACGGCGGCGCACTGCGGGGTGGTAGTCGGGGACCAGGTGCGAGTGGGCGGGCGGCTGCTGCGATCCGGGTACAAGGCGACGGTGGGGGAGGTGTTCCTGCACCCGGAGTTCGAGTCTTTCCAGCACACTGGCG